GAATTTCGGGTCTGACGAATAAGAAGTCATGAACCAGCAGTGGCAGTGCTACCACGGTGCGGCGGGCTGAGGCCTGGCAAGCCAAAGTGTCGCAAAGCCTGAAAACGGCGCTGTGACATGGCGAGCGTGAAACGCCATTAAATAAGTTCGCTTGCTACTTCTGCCTTGTGGTTAAGCTATTGAGGCAAAGTGCTAGAGGAGATAACTTCGAACAAACAATCAGTGCGGCTGTTGGGGACCCGCTCGTACCCAAAATTCCCAAGTCACTTCAATGAATTTAATATCCAATAACATCCTTGAAAAATACAACCCTAGAATCAGAAGACTTTACTTCCAAATGCAATATAATCTAGCACTAAGGATAAATTGGCAAATTTCACTATAGCGTCATAGGCATGCGCATTAGACAGCCACGTCTTGTATCTTGCCGATCTGGTATTTAAGAAATATTTCCTAGGCTGTAGGCCTTGCCCGTAGGTACTGGCAGGAATTTCAGGGAAGACACAATTTACTTTTATGCCCGACGCTTGAGTATAGTGGTTTAACAGTCAAGAGGAAAAATAAGCAAAGTTGTCAATATGAAAGAACATTATAATTCAAGAAAATGTATTAGAATTACAGGCTTCAGAATCCACTGATGTGGCGAAGGCTCACTGTCCCAGGCTTCCTTTAGTTTATCAATCTCAGTTGGTATGCAAAAAGTCTGCGGAAAGAAGTCAAAGTGTTTGATTCCAAACTTTTGTTGCATCGCCGAAAGGTTCCGCCATAGCCTATCTTTTCTTCCTAGTTGAAACGAACAAGGCAGATGGTTGACCTGCGTGCAAGGCAGAAATCCAGAGTCAAGTCCATAAATGTATGCGTAATGACAGTATGCGTGAAATGCCTGTTTAAGTTCAAGACAAAATCGAAAAGTATTAGGTGGCAATAAATCCCAGATTTGGGAGATAACCATGGATATGTTTATATGCGTCGACATTTGACATTCAGCTGTACCATTGTGTTCATTCTCCCGCGAGGGTGACGAGGAAGGTATGGTGATTTCATGGACGGTACTAAACTGGACTGCATTCTGTCCAGGCGTGTCAAAACTGTCTTTCGTCATGATAAGGCCGCGGAGGTTGTTCTTGGCTACTCATTTTCGAGAGGCAAACGATCGACTATATCTCTTTCTGATCACTGCCAGCTTATGGATGTATATGTTTATATGCATTCGATCTTATTCAAAGCAGCAATTTATTGTATTCTTCACGAATGGAACTGAAACAATTGAAGCATCGGCTCAGAAATATAACGCAAACATAATTAATTTATAATTTATAATAGAGGTCTACACATCTTTTAGTAATACTAAAAAACCCAAACCTACAGGGCCTTATTGTTGTAACGGTAGCCTAGGCTGAGATATCACCGCCCAATAACGCCTTGTGTGAGTCCCCAAAGGACGAACACGACAAGAAGTGTGCAACAGCAGAAGTCTTTGAGAGAAAAACGTACAACAAATTTAGGGTAACTAACATGTGTAAGATAGGTCCACGAACCAATCAGCTTCTCTTCTGGATTAGTCACAGGTGCGATTGGCTGGGACTCAGAGGCTGACATTCAAATTGAATGTTGAATTATCGATTGATTGCCGGCTTGTGTAAGTTCGCCCACGTAGGCCGATCGATAACCTGCTTTGAATGTGGCCATTTATTGCGGGCTAACTGCTTGCTAAGGCTGTTCGTTGGGCCGTCCTAACACTTAGGACGGACGGGAAATTGACCGCCGTAATCAAGTCATTATAGGCAGTAACCTCTTTCGTGTTCCAGCCTCGGATTCCTTTACCATTCCGCAATGGCTTTAAATACTACAGGTGTCCGAATAATGTTCAGCGTTATTGAGAGATCCGGAAAGGATCTTGGAACTTCTCAATAGGGTCTTCAAAGGCATTGCCTACCACCCTAAATATACTGAACTATA